GTTTGGCAAAGTGGGCACTGTTGGCACGGCATGTAAACAGTTCCCAGAGCAGTTAGCACCTTACAGTATGCACTCAGCAAGCAAGTTAAATTGAGTCTTAAATAATGAGTTAAGTTTTGCTGCTTTTTTTTTATTGGATGAAGGAAAAGAAAATAGGATTAAATATCATCCTGCCTTTTAAAGACAGGGTCTCACTGTAAAGCTCTAGCTGTCCTAGAACTCACTCTGTAGGCCAAGCTAGCTTCAAATTCACCAAGATCTGCCTGCCTCTGCCCCTGAGTGCCCAATAACCAGTCTCTTAAACTTCCACCCAGAAGTGACACATACCACTTTGGGTAAAGTGAGTCACATGGTCATACTCAAATTAAAAAGGGAAGGGAAGGCAGTCCGTCCTACCATGTGCCTGAGAGGAGGAAGACTCTATGACACACCCAAAGCCTCAGCATCGAGTGCTTTCTAAGATGCTGGCCACCTTGAATGGGAGTCATAACATACCCTGGGTGAAGGAGCTGTGGGTGGAGTAAGATTCATTGTCCTTTGGGATCCCATGGGTGTTAGCCATGTCTTTTATTTTTTTTGTAATCTGATACTTTGTCCCCTGGGGTCTCACAACCCTGCAGGGACAGTCCTGTCTGGGATTAGCCAATCGCTATCCCTAACAGAACATGATTTGCCTATGGGCATACTTTTCAAAAGCAAACTGACAACCCAGCATCTTTGCTTCCAACCTCCCTTTTTCCTGACTACCTGTACTTAGAATCACTACTTACTTGCTCAAGTTACCCAGGGACCAGGACTAGCCAACTAGGAATGGTTCCTAACCCCAGATCCACTGACAGTATTCAAACCAGCCAACAGTAAACCTGTAGAATCTATGATAAAAGTCCTTATGTACAGTCCACTCTCTTCTACCCCAACTGATGCTGTTTCCCTGGAGGCCCCCATGTATCTCTAACACAGTGTTCCCTCTTCTCTCAGGAACCAAATAAGGCCACTGTCGTTTTAATAATAACCGTCTCCTGTTGTCCTGATCATATCTTAATAATAAAAAACATGCTCAAGTACATCTACATGTTAACCGTTAGCAAAAAGAAGCTGGAAGCTGGAAGATTCATAAGCAGACTTCCCCAGTCCTGAGCTGCTGCAGGCGGGGAACAGCAGAGCTGGCCCAAGTCAGCTTGTCTATTCTCTGTCAGCTTCCCACTGAGGTTAACAGGAAGAGAGGAGGTTTCAAGGTCCAATCTTATCCTGAAGCTAACAAACATGGCTGTGGTGTTCCTTGGAGGGGGGTGGGTAGGGCGCCCTATCTGACGAGGCAACAGAATAAGATAAGGCCAATATGATAAAGCCAAGCTCGGGGAGCTGTCTATCTTCCCTGGTGAGCCTCGCACCAGACTTCTCTATGTCCTCTTGGTGTCTTCCTTCTTCTCTGGGAAGGGCTGACAGTGGTGGCTGCTGCTGGCAGATTCCAGAGAAGTCACAGCAGTTTGGCTCATAGGAGCCTTCAAACCGTGGTGGATTTTGTTGACAATTTTTGCTAGAGTTGGTGAGACCAAGGGTGCAGGAGTGTGGGCAGTGGGAATTGCTAGAGGAGAGACTTGGGTTTGGCTGTAGCTTTGGGTCTGCCATTAGCTCTTGGGTGTTAGGCATTCCTTACACACACACACACACAGACACACACACCACAGAGAGAGAGAGAGAGAGAGAGAGAGAGAGAGAGAGAGAGAGAGAGAGAGAGAGAGAGAGTTAGTTTGTGATGAGAACTGATTCTCCTTCTGTGCTCAGAAGGGAGACTAAGTTGGGTGCTGGTAGCTTCTCTCACATTTTATATTACTGCTACTGGCCAGTGAGACAAGACAAGACAAGACAAGACAAGACAAGACAAGACAAGACAAGACAAGACAAGACAAGACAAGACAAGACAAAGCAACAAAACATACAAGTATTGAAACTTAAGAGTAATCTTCCTTTCCTTTCCTTTCCCTCCCTTCCTTCCTTCCTTCCTTCCTTCCTTCCTTCCTTTCTTTCTTTCTTTCTTTCTTTCTTTCTTTCTTTCTTTCTTTCTTTCTTTCAGATGGAACAGAGTGTAGCTCTATGGTTTGAGCAAGCCAAAGAATCCGTGTACAAATGGTTAGAGTTAGTGAGTTTGGCAACATTTCTGGTTTTTGGAACATTGTGTAAAACTTTATTTCTAGCATATTCTAGGTCTATATGGTTGAGAAACAATCTCAAAATTTTGTAGCTTAAAACAATAATATGCATTTATTATTGGTCATGGCAACTGAACATTCTATCATCTATCTATCTATCTATCTATCTATCTATCTATCTATCTATCTGTCTATCATCTACCTGCCATCCATTTACTTATCAAGACAGAGTCTCCCTATGTAGCCCTGGTGGTCTTGGAACTCGATATGTAGATCAGGCTGGACTTGAACTCACAGAAATCCTGCCTGTGTCTTTGTTCCAAATGCTAAACATTTTGGATTTGAGGAAAACTGTAATATTTTCAGGGCTTCTCTGTTAATTCCAGACCTCTTACATGATAGCTTACAGCTCCAAACAGGAGCCTGCAGAGAAGCCAAGCAGGCAAGGCTGTGCTAGCTTTTATGAATCAGCCTCAGAAGTCACAGTATTTACTAAGAACCACTCACCAAAATCAGCCTTTTCCAAGAGGGAGGTTATTAGACTCTACTCTTTGGGAGGAGTGTCAAAGGATTTGTGGAGGTGTTAGAAAGCCTTGACCATCATATTAACAAACAAAACACATAATTGATAAAAGCATAAAAACGACAAATACCTCAGTTGTAAATCTAATAAAAGATGTGCCAGGTTTTTGCATACAGAACAACGGTGAGAGAACGTGCAAAGAAACCTTAAATAAGTGGGTGTACCATGTTCATGGATAAAATTAATTCACATAGAAAATACCCACTTCATCCACATCGGCATAAAGATTCGATGTGAGAACAATGAAAATCTCAGCTGATTTTTATTAAGATACAAAGGCCAGTAGCCAAGGTATTCTTAAAAAACAGTGTGTGGACTTATTCTGTGGGACATTGAGATTACACAGCTGAAGTAATCCAGCAAGCTAATGGCACAAGTAAACAGAAGACCACAGAAGCCATCCACGTGCATACAACATACCTGATTTGTGATACAGCAGTGCAGAGAAGTGCATATGTGAGTGCGTGCGTGCGTGTTTCAGTGACTATTGCCAGGTTAGTCGAGTATCCAAATCTGGGAGAGAAAGAGAGAGAGGGAAAAGGAAGAAGGAAAGAGAGAGGGACAGGGACAGGGAGAGGGAGAGGGAGAG